TCTTCAAAATACTCACGTCTGCGCCGCAATCAATTAACAGATTTAAGGGCTGATTTGATCCACCAGTTAGGACATGTATAAAGTTTAACTGTTGATTTAGTCGGAAAGAGTAGCACTTGCCAGGTTAATCGCCGCCAGCGAGACTTGCGCCTGTTTCCCATCCGTTGACGGCGCTTTTCCGTTTCCCTGGTTTTCTTGTGAGCGGCGGTGACCCCTGTAGTTGCCGCCTTTGTTCTGAGCTCGCTGATACTGGTAGTTAGAATCGCCATTCGAAGTCTGCTGCGACTGATTCTTGTTATAATGCGAGCGTTCTCGACGATTATGGCCTCGATGTGAGCCACGATTCGAGCCCCGAAAAATAATTTCCCCGATGATTCCAGGAACCGCGGCCACGACCACGCTGGACTTGCTTCGTCTCGATTTGTCTCGTCTCGGAACTTGAAAAATTTACGTTGGCGAGGCCAATTTCCGCTTCAAGAGCCACAGAAACGCCTGCAGCAAAGGACTTCACTTGCGAAGATGGTAAAACACGTTTCACTTTAGGAGCCAAACCCATTTTTAAAGCATTTAATTCTGCACAGTCATGTAGCGATTTTATTATATCGAGATGCTCATCACCTTTATCGAGCACCTGCAACTCGATCATTGTCGATAGAAGTTCTTCGATACGCGTCGCAAAATCGGATACCGGACCATCTTGACGGATAGATGCTAACTCGTCTTGAACAGTGGCTATCGATTTACGCGGTCTCAAACGAGCACGCAAAAATTCATCGAACTCTTCGAAAGTTTTAATATTAGACGTAACGGCTAATTTTGCCTGCTTCATTAGCTTTACTTACATAAGAAAATTTAAGAATGTAGCTTTTCCAGAAGTAGTCAGCATATCATTATATAATTTCGCGCAATCCAGAAAATCCACCAGCTGACTAGATTTTCCATCGAAATCAGGTGCGATAGAGGAAACAGTTTTGATATTAAAGTCCGTTCCCGGCATCTCGACGTTCGCTGGTGATGTCGACGCTGAAAATCCTTCCAGAAAAAGTTTTTTTCGGTTGTAAGCTGCAACAAGTTCCTCACTTCGTTCCTCAGAGGAAACATTTAGCCACAATTGCTCCAAAATGGCCTTCTTCTGCGGAGCCTGACGAGGACGGCGGTCTTTAGAAGTTTTATACAGATTATCATAGAAATTGAGGAAACTGTCCGCGATAACCTCGAGTTAGGGGAGGGGGATGCGTGGGAACAACAGTTTTATATAGAGTAATGTATTCGTAGCTGGAAAAAAAACTGTTCGAATTTATTTTTCTTCAAATCTCTTTTTTTCTCTTAATTTTCTTTCGATGAACTTGACATCTGAGCATTTAAGAATAACATAGTATCGGATAATAGTCTTCGTTCGAAAGAGAATAAAATAAAGAAAATTTGTCTTACTTTTTCCTTCTTGGATGCTCCAAATCTTCGATTTTCGGACCGATGTTCACGCTGACATACTTCAGTTTCACTATACTCCTGCATCGGGGGGGGGGGGGGGGGGAGGTCATGACGCGATTCTTTTCCTCGAAATATGTCGTAGCATCTTCCCCTGGATTTTGACACCTTCCCTGAAACCGCGAACACGATGTTGTACCTGGACTAGGATGGAACCGTTCCCTAAAGGAATTTTTCAAATCCTCCCAATTTTTCACATTTAATTCACCTTCATTTTGTTCCCACCATATTTGTGCTTTTCCCAACTAACTTAGGTAGAAATACTGGCGAACACGTGCATCATCCCAATTATACACCTGTTTTTGACGATTTATTTCTTTTATAAGTAATTCAACTTCACTTGGATCACCTGTGCAACGAGGAATTCCAAGTTTCAAAGGGTTTAACACAGCATCCATACCTTAAATGAGATTGAGAAGGGTTCGGGTAACTAATTAAATTAAAGACATAGTTGACTTAGAGATAGCTTGCGGAAGGTTGAACCAGGACATGGTTTCGTGACATGCGTCCCCAAATCAACCTGTTAGAATGACGTAACCGATACATAAATTAATTTTTATGAATAAATGTAATGCATGTCCGTACATTACGAAAAACTTATTGAAAACAACCAGCATAGTTACCTACTATAGTTGTAAACAAAGCCGAATTTAGCTAACTCTACTTCTACCCGTTTTTGAGTAAAAAGAGATTTATCCTTTGGATACCCTTCTTCGTCGTATGTCACCGGGGGAAGGGAGGGATTTCTTGATAACACATCAGCCTCATAAGATGCGTCTGACCCATACACTGACGAAAAAATGCGAGCTATACAATGCTTGGATGCTCTCACCGATCGTTTTAATCTGTCTCCAATATATTCCTTGATTTCAGCAGGAGGTAATTTTTTTAACAAGTCTATCACGGTTTCACTTCGCACATGCGTGTCGATTACAATCAACTGTTTCTCTCTTAGTAAGGGAAGAAGTTCAGCATAATCTACCCTGATCGACTCGGTGTTAATAAATATATTTAAGGTATGCGTTCCACATGATTAGAAAACGAAATAGGCGTTAGTAAGTGAAATAATAAAAAAAAAATTTTAAATTAAATTAAAAATTACTGCTGATCTGACCCAGACACACACAACACGAATTCAGGCATTTCAGTAATAGGCGAGATGGCGATTTAAAACTCGCTCGGTTTACAAAAAAAAATTTAACACAAACCCAAAACGAGAAAACGAAACAAGAAACGATAAGAAAATTACTTTGACCTTATAAAAATAAAAAAATGAAACATGATACTGCATCCAATTGAAAAAACGCAATCCTGAAAAGACAAGAAAATTCCCTGGTTTCTCCCAAATACATTTGACCTGTAAAGACAAATGATCAAAAACGAAAAGAACAAAAAATTAAAAAAAAAGACAGAAAAATCAACTATATAATTCCTTTCTTGAGTCTACGCAACCTCGGAAACACAAAATTAAATTTTCTCACTCGCTTGGCTTTTTATGGAGAGGTACTACAGAACGGCCAAGAAACACTCACCGGGAGTTTATTTTTTGGCTGCCCGGCCGGGCCTACACCACTTGAAACGGCTAACACTTTAGGGACCAGAGGGGATACCCTACAGTTTAGCCAAAAACTTGTGTTCCTCTGCAGTAAGGAGAAACATGGGGGGGGGGGCGTTCCACCAGTCAAGGTTATAGTAAAAGGAGCCCTTGACAACTCCAAATAGGATATTGCAAACTAAAACTAGCATTAACAAGGTTTGAACACGAGGAGACCCAAGAGCAGAATTATACGGGTATATGTTTGTTTAGGATGGCAAACCTGTCCTGAGAATTTTGGATTTGAAATATTTTTCCGCTCCTGCCACCAAACGGGTGTTGATGCTCCAAGACTGGAGGGGGAGTGTAGATATAACGTGCTCAGCTCTCAAGGCCAAGTAGCTGAACACGTTGGGGAGGTGGTCGCAGATAAAGGGGGGGCGTATGTCCACCAGAAAGGGTAGTCCTAGAATAGGGAAGGTAGATCTAGGGGGATGTAAGAGCCCTTTCACTCTATATAGGTGGTCACCTACCTGAAGAACGTATCCTAGAATCCTAAGGCGAAGAAGGAACACGTAAGTAGGGGGTGGCCACTCGATGTATTGGGTAACGGTACAAATATAACTTGGTCACACAGACCTCTAACAACTATCACACAGATATAACTACTACAAAAGAAGGGGGAAGGGGGTCTCCAAGCGGAAGAGCCGTCGGGAATGCTGGACGGGACTTTCGGCGAGGGGAGGGATACTCAACGCTCAAT